CACAGTGAGGATCACGCGGTCCCCATCCTGGAAGGCGAGTAGCACCGACAGCACCCAGGCGTTTCGTGATCTCCTTCATACTTCTCTGCCAGGTCATGGGTTGGCCACCTCTCTGTTTACGCCACTCTGAGTTGGGCAAACGCTTATGTTACCGTCATCAAATGACTGAAGTTAGGCTATTCATGCCTCTGAAAGTAAACAGTTTTTGATTTTGTAGAACCCTAGTTAGTTTATCGCATGATTTTCCGGAGTTCATCTAACACAGTTGTATCCAGTGTTACCTGGCACAGCAGGGGTATATTTTACAGGTTGACATTTTTATCTCTTCAACACAATTATGATGACGACAATGACAAGGTGAGGCGATAAGAGAACAATGTTCACCACTTCGGGGCCTTAGGGTCGCGTCGCCTTGACACGTCCCATTCCGGTATTTTATCAATTGGCCATCTTGCCGGCAGTAACATGGTCGATTTGGCCACAAAGTACGCAACTGCCAACGTACATACGGAGAGGAGTGGGATGTCTATACCAAGATTCGAGCAGTGCACGCGATCCTTTCATGAAAGCTTGTCGCCATCCACGCACATGAGGCAACGCATAATTTTGAATTGCGGGGTTTACTGCTCAGCGAAGTAGTTCAAACTCATGATTCAAGCAAGCGCCGATTTCAAGTTACTGTGCGATTTTGTAACGTGCCACCTAAGTGCGCCCCTACATTTGAGTCCTGTAAGAGTGACACTCAATACGTTGTGAATCTCAGGTTAACCACCAGAATGTTGGGTGAAATTCCACAGGGATCCTCTTCACCGCTCGCAGTCAGGTGCTGCTAAGGCCGAGAAGTCCATCCCATGCAAGCTTGGCCAAAATTTCGGGACTCTTGCCGATCCGGCATCAAGCCGAGATCTGATTGGTCGGAAGTCTGGACCCAACAGCCAATCATGACCCAGTATTAACCGAATGCCGGTTGCCAATACCGCATCCAGAACGCGTCAGAATTTCCAGAAATTTATTGCCGCCTACGCTATATATATGAAGTTCTGTACAGGTGTTCCTGACTTCCTTTTGGGGGGTAATATACCTTGTGCACCTTTGGTGGTTGTTTTGACGTGAACGCTAGCTTGGGAGGCTCAGACCGAGAACTAAGCTGAGAAAGATACCGTTACTACAATTGGCGAAAGGGAACCCACGATGTCAATCGGATTTGATCAGCTCCGAGAACTGTTGCAGCAGTAACAAAAGCAGTCTGAAGAAGCGCAACTGAAGCTTATTGAATCACTGACTCAGAAACTGCATATCCAGACAGCAGCAGTCAGTACTGGCGAGTCTTCTGTTTCCTCAACTGATGCAACCGCGGCCTCAATTACGGAGTTCACATCTGACCCTTTTTCTGGTCACACTTTTGACTCCTGGTTCATGCGGTACGAAGACATGTTCAAGACTGATTTTTCCAAGTTTGATGATGGATGGAAAGTCAGACTATTGCTGCGAAAACTCGGCACACCGGAGCATGAACGGTTCACAAATTTCATTCTCCCCAAGCTGCCCCACGACCTCAGCTTTGATGAAACGGCCAGAACAGTGTCTCAGATATTCGGCGATCATACATCACTGTTCAGTATCCTTTGCTAGTCCCTAAAGTTGGTCAAGAAAGATCATTATGATGATGATTTCATCACCGGTATTGTCAATCGAAAATGCGAGCGATTCAAGCTCAGCTCAATGACGGAGAATCAGTTTAAGTGCT